CACAGACGTTTCATAGGAAAGAAGGCGCAAATCACACCAGAACACCCATCAACCACAACTATAACCAACATCACCACCAACAACAACAAAAAGAACAATACTTGCACCACAAACATTACCAGCATGTAAAAATGAAAAACAACTCGTAACGACAATTTTAAAAAAGGAAAACGACAACCACAACTACAACTGTCATGAACAACAATTACAACAATAACAACCAGAATAGCACCACTACATATACCACAACTGTCACCAACATCTACAGCAACACCACCACCAACAACAACAGCTATGAAACGTCAAATGTTACCCTCAACTGAAGGCTCAGATCAGCCATTGCCAGCCACTCTCCTTACAAGAATCACCGCCTCGGCAAAAATACAGAATCTTTACCCTGGTACAGCCGCACACCGCCCACTCAAGCACGCAGTTGTGCTCCAGTAAGTCAATACACTGCTCTGGGATTCAAACTCGAACTCTCCGACCCACTTGACCAAGGGCTGACCCATACACGGCGCATACACCGGGGCGGCACTCCAAAGTTGAGAGTGAGCGGTCTCACAAGTCTCTACCTTTCAGCAGTCTACCTGGCTCACAGCGGTCTCACGTTTGTTTCACAACAGACTACACGCCACATTACAAAATCTATCTAATCTATCTCACAATGCAATCTGCAGGCTTCAAACAGTCTATAAGTCTTATAGCAGAGCACTATTCGACTACCAACGGAGTCTACACCGTACTGTAAGTCTAATAACAGAGTTCTTTTCGAATCCCAACAGTTTCAAAAATCGCCTCATAAAAGAATCCACACGCTTCACAACAGAGTCTATTCTACCAACAGAAGAATCTGTACGCCTTAAATTAGTCTTTATGCCTCACAGCAGAGTCTTTTCTACCTACGGCAAAAATGGCTCACAACAGTCTCTAAAACGGTCCCGACTGAGGTCTAATCGCCTCACAATACATTCACAGCATGTAGCACTGAACTGCTACTCCAGGTCACCTATCTATCCACAGTAACAGCGTGCAGTAAAAGACGTGGTCTACAGACACCGCCCCCTCCTCTCCCGTCTCCTCTCCCTCTCCTCCTCCTGATCACACGGAACGATAAATCTTATCACACGTCACATGCCAATGCCTTGTCTCAGTCCATCATAGCGACAACATGGGCTGCGATACAAACACACAAGCGCGTGTACACACACACACACACACACACACACACACACACACACACACACACACACA